AAATCGAATCTTATATACGAAAGTATATAAGTCTAGGGCTTATAGTCGGAGGTTTAAGGTACTATACAGAAATTCATCTCCATTGTTTTCTGCGCAAGTGCTATTCGTCATGATTCATCACTCGGCAAGTACCGTAAACAGAAGCAGTCACCCCCTGGCACAGAACAAAGACCAGGTCCCAGCCAGTGTGCGCCCAAGAGGCATTCCCCCTGGACGTCGGTCATTTTGAATATTATCAGGGGGTCGAATGCCTCCCAAAAGCGCACCAGCCAGGACCATATAGCGTCAGCATTTTGATGACGAATTACGTTCAACGCCAAAATCATTGGGAAATCATAGGAAAAACCAAGAAATCGGGCTTCTGTATGACCCATTCTGTGGCCCCATAATGATGCGCTACCGCTTTATATAACTTTTGGTACAACTGGCCTGAAACTTAAAATAAATTTGATTCAATAAGTTTAATATCAATATATTTATTGAAAAATAGCTATTATGTCAAAATAAGCAAACTTAAGCCATGTTTTTATGAGCGACTGTTCATCGTTAGTTGCAAGCGACGGTAAACCTTGACCTTGTTTACAGTATATTATATAAACAAGGTCAAGGTTTTATCGAAAGCGATTGATCGTTTATACTTTATAGATTTCCTTTTATACTATTTCATAACTTAATAACGTTATTTCCTACAAATTTAGCTTTATTGTAGCTTTATTGAAAGTATAAAAAAACATGGAAACGGTGAATTACTATAAATTGAAAATAATTATTAAACTATCATTGAAATTATCGACGTAGAATGCTATTTCGTTGTATTAAATTTCAATAGTATTAATGAGAATTTTGTTTGATATTTTTATAAATATATTTCATGCTATTTAGTATATTTCATGTTATTTTATTTCAAGTTTTGCACACAATGCATATATAAAGTATTTCGATAGCGTAGCCTTCACGATATAAATATTAAACGCCTGATAAATAAACACTCATTGTGAGCACAACCGCTCCAAAATCACAACAAATAACAGAATATAAGGTAAATTAAAACCAGCAAAGCTTTACCTACCTTGATCTATTTTTCTAAGGCGCTCAATTATGTAA